CTTATTTATTATTAATTAATTTTATATTAAATGTTAATTTTATATTGAAACTTATGTAATTAATTTTTCACATTTTTTGTCTGTGAGAATTTATTATAAATTTTACAATATCATTACATTAAACTAGAAATAGATAGTAATTCACCCAGTCCACCCTAAATTAAAAGAAACAAAAATTATAACACATCTTGCTGTTTGATTTTATTATAAAAATATTGTCAATTAATCATTTTACAAATTATAATTAATTGCTATTTCAGTTTCACACAATCCCCAGCGTCCAAACACGTCAGCATGAAACATGTTTCAAGTTTCAACCATTTTCATGCGTCCATTATCGGGCATTTTCTAGAGCACTATCTATTTCTTAATCAAAATATTACCTCTATTAATTTTTAATTTGAAAATACTATACTTTACCGTACATTAATAACATATTTATTTTAAATTTATAATAGAACGTGTTATTATATAATTAAATTTTTATTTAAAATTTTATTTATAATATTATTTATATCAATTTATTTAATATCATATTATATCATATATATTTAATATTATTTTATAATTATAAATTTACAATCTTAAGTAACAATATAATTATAATATTATCATTTTTAATTCACATAGTTTGATTTTTTAATATTAATTTTAGATAAAAATTAAACATAGAATATAATTATGTAAATAGTAATTTATAATTTTTTAATAAAATAAAATTATTCAACAAGAATTACATATAAAAAATATTTGTTATTTTTATGTTTTGTTAAATATTCGTTTGAAAGTAATGTTTAAATATCTAAAAAACTAAAAAATCAAATTAATACAACTAAAATTGAAATATAAGAGGTACATCTTTTAAATTTCCTCTAAGAGGAATTAATTTTGATAGGTTTGGATTAAAATTGAGTAATGATCTGTATATTTTTTTTTATATAATTTTTACATATTATCTAATAAATAAATATATATAATATTATAAAATTTAATAAAATAAAATAAAATAATTATTAAATAATTTATAAATTATATAAAAAATTACATTCCTATAAAAAAAATTAACTCCCAATTATTTCGGAGTCGAGCAATTCTTGCTGTTCTCACCTATGATCCGTTTAAGACCAAACCTGAATCTCTCTCAACATGCCTGTTTGCCAGCCTTACAAGAATCAAGTTCTCTGTTCCAACAACTGGGACGGGCCTTGACTTTGCACTCAGGTTCACGGTCAATCAAAAGTAAGCCCGACAAACAAGGGCAGATTGGATTAATTCAAATTGAATCACATTAAATTTTAAGTTAAAAAGAGTAAACTCATAATTCACCCTTATAAGTTTCAAATTAAATCAAGAGAACCTAGGATGAGGATAGGGCTTTTGCTTTAATTCAATGGAAGACTTTTGCATAGATAAAAGGGGAAGTTTACTAACACTGTGTTTCCCTTTATTTATTAGTGTAATTTCTTTAATTTATGTGTTTAAAAAATTACTAGAAACTAGTTTTGTTGTTCATGCTTTTAGTCCTTCCTGTTTTGAATTGGTTTGGAGTGTTTTAATTAATGCTGTCTTATAATGTGTTACTGAAATTATGGGTAAAGTATCATTTGTATTCTTTATTATAATAAAATTTTTTGATTCATCTTAAAAAAATCAAAAGAACCTAATTTTTTAAAAGAATTAAAATTAAAAATAAATTT